CCTCCCAATATTCTATTTCTCCTTCTGTTTAGAACCCTGATTTTTAGCAGAGCATGTTGCCATCAGAGTAAGTGATGGCAGCTTCCCTTAGTTAGGAGTGGTCATATGACTCTATTTCCCAGCACCCCTTGTAGCCAGGTGTGGCCACTGAGATGTATACAGAAGTGTTGGGAGATTTGGGGGAAGAAGCTCTTTATAAGGAAAGGTGTGAATTTCACTAGCCATCTTCTGCTTTCTTCTACTGCTGGCTTGGAACATAGACATGATGGCTGGAGCTCTAGCAGCTATTTTAGCCATCTAAGGTCTAAAATTTTCTGTCCTACTAGTTATAGGATAGTAGGACAGAAAATAAAAAGTTTTGGCACCTGAAGACACCATGGGACAACCATAACAGCCTTGAACTGCCTACTCCTGGACTTCTTTTATCTAAAAATGAATAAAAGAATGAATGAATGAGCTTCAAGCTTATTTCAGCTATGTTTATTTTATTTTGTTCCATACGTGCATTCAAACTCAAGTTTACATGTTGGAGATCTAAGTCAAAGTAGTTTAAGTCTACCTTCCTCCCGGTCTATAGCATATGGGAGTCTAAAGCATATGAGAATCAATCTATGATTGATATATGAGAGTCCAAAGCCCTCCCCAAGATACCCGTGAATCCCTGAGCATGTAAGCTCCTAGTCCTTCAGCTTCTGGAGTTGTTATTACCTGTGCTTCCTTTGCTCTGCCCTGCTCTGATCCAAACATGAAACTCATTTCCTCATTGATTTCCACAAGAATCCATTCAGGATCTTGGCAAAGTATCATCTCTCACATGGCACAGCAAACAACTTACTGATCTATGTTGAACTTCCTATTAGCTCAGGTCTTTTCGCCACCCCACTTCCCAGCACTTCTCTTTTGGCGCTTCAGCCAGGAAGACCCCAGTGTCTCATTTGATCCTGCTTCTCCCTTCTCTGCCCTTACTTCCTTCCTTTTACATCCAAATTCTACTGCCTCACTTATAAAAAGCAGCCCATGTGCCACAGCTCCTTTACCCAAATTTACTCTTAGGTGCCAGGCAGACAAAAGAAGTTCTATTTAATAGAATTCACTCTCCTAAGAAGGCAGTTGTCGTTGTAAATGGCATACCTCTGCCAGTGAGTGTGAACGTAGCTCTAAAGTCTTAAGAACCTCAGAGTGCACGAAGGAGTGGGTGGGGTGTATGGGGAGCAGGAAAGGAGTGTTGGAGCAAAGATCTGCCTGTGTGTCTGGATCACGCTGCACCCTTGCCATTGCTACATTGTTAACACATTGAGGATCACTGGTTTATTTCCTGGTGCCTGTCTCTTCCTGCTGGAAACTACCAGTGTACCTCTTGGGAGGTGGGTTTCCACATTCTCTCTCACCATGTGGTTATTTTCTACATTACATCTGCAAGTTTCTCTCCTACCAGTGATAATACGCTTGGGTGGCCACTCCTCTGGGGTGTTCTGAATTTCTACTTTGTATCTACTTAAGTGCATTACTAAAATGGACATTCCTTTAAAGATTCCGAGAAAATATATAAAACATGTTAAAATTCCAATACCTGAGAAGGATAGTGTTAATTCATTGTTAGCTTTAAATTTACCTGACATTTACTCTTAGGTTTTTTTTCATTCATGTTGTCTCTTTAATCCTCATAATTTCCCTATAGTATTGGCATCATATACCCCATTTTGTAGTTAAATAAACTGACACCCAGAGAGGTGGATCAGCTTGCCCAAGGACACACAATTAGTAAGTGATGAAACCATGATGAAGATGAAAGTGCTGCTGATCCTAAGCCCAGAACCCTTTTAATTAGCCGACACGCACCCTTGTCACGGTTTAATTTACTGTTTCCCTAGCAGAGAGCAGAGATGTGAGGTAGAATAAATAAACCCTGGCTGGGGAGGAGGGGTCAGCAAAGGATCTGGGCTTGGTGTGAACCGAGGGTCACCGCAGAGAATCCTGGGAAGCCAGAAGCAAGGGGAGGGATCCTTGGTGTCCGAAAGAGGAGGAAGTCAAAGCGAAGAGGCGCTTTTGAGGGAGCACCAGATCTTACAGTATCTCCTGTCACCCAGGTCAGTTGTTTTTGTTTTTTTGTGGTTTTTTTCTGATTAAGGAACTTGCTGTGAATGAGATGGTTGAGGCCAATGCAGTTCAAAATATAGTCAGGAAGCATATTCAAACAGAACAAGCCAGAACCACCGGTGTAACATTTGAGAATTATAAACCCTCAGCCTTCTGTAGCAGCTGGACAGACTGTGATTTGAATCGAAACTCTCCGAGTGAAGTAAGCAACAAAGTGCTCCAAGGAAGAAATCTCATTTCCCAAAAGCAGATTTTGAGAAACTCAGAATTGGAGCATCTGACACAGGTGTCCTCAAGGGACATCGTACAGGGTCCAACAAGTCGTTAGAAACCATTGGCAGGTCCAGGGCCTTTCAGCAAGTTGTACAGAGATTCTAATAGGTCATGTGCACTCAATGCTCCAGGAGCACAGGTAGCCCTGTCGGGGAGATGAGACCAGGCAGTCTGAGCGATGCCTGTGCAAACAGTAGGAGCCCTGCACCTTCGCCTCGGCGACCGGAGGGAGGGTTTGTTAGTGGTACATGGGCTCACGCACTCCCTTCAGCATCAGTTAGTGAAATCACTTCCTGACTTCTGTGTTCCTCTTTTTTTTTTTTTTGCGGTACGCGGGCCTCTCACTGTTGTGGCCTCTCCCGTTGCAGAGCACAGGCTCCAGATGCACAGGCTCAGCAGCCACGGCTCCCGGGCCCAGCCGCTCTGCGGCATGTGGGATCCTCCCGGACCGGGGCACGAACCCGCGTCCCCCTGCATCGTCAGGCGGACTCTCAACGACTGCACCACCAGGGAAGCCCTGTGTTCCTCTTTTGACCCTGCCAAGTAAGAACTCACCTTTCAAGCATGAAAATCACTTCCGTTTAGGGAAAACCTACTATATGTCAAACACTACCATGACATTCCCCCACAGCTGAAGAATCTCAGCCCTGGAAATGGTAAAGGACTGGCTCAGTGCTATACAGCTAAGCCCGGGGTTCCCAGGGCAGCCAGCCCTGCCCGAAGCCCCAGCATCTCAGGCTGCCTCAGGACCGCCGTCCGTGCTTGTGGGTGGAACTCCCTGTGTCATGCACACATGACCAAGGGCCTAAAAGTTGCACACAGCCTAACAGTGAGAAATGCCTCTCACCCTGAGGTGTCCCAGTCCTGCTTGCAGCTATAGATGTAGACCAGGAGGCCCTCAGGAGGCCCAGAGCCGGGGCCAAATGCTTTTGCCGAAGCTGTGTGAAGATTCCTCACCCACCTATGGGTTAACAAACTAGACTCTGCTCCTGGAGGGCTGCCCTGCACACAGACGGTGTTCGATAAATGCAGCCTTCAGTAAATGCAGCCAGTGTCATTTTCCTATACCTTGGCCTGCAACTACCATGGGCGTCTTAGAATTCTCTCGAAATCTGGCCTGGGGTGCAGATTTCATCATACTCCTGCTGGGATAATAACCAAAGCTTTGATTTACCAAATCTTCTTGCTGGACACACTGCTTTATAGTATGAATACATCGTCTATTTTAGTCCTTCCAGCAACCCTGACAAATATTATTATAATTCCAGTATAAATGAAGAAGTAGAAGAAAGTATAGAAAGGTTCCATCACTGGTCTAATACATGACTCAGAAGTGAACAATGGATAGGATAGTTGAACATGTGTCTTTTTGTCTTTCCAGTCAGTGCTATTAATAACTCTATTATCCTGCCTGCCGAGGAATTCCCTGGAATTTCTCTAGGCCCTGAACCCTCTGTTGGTCGTGGTGACCTCCAGAGCTTCCCTTGGCCACAGGGTCAGAGACCTTGTGAAACAGCAGCTCAGCCTCAAAGGAAGCCACGGGTCCATGGTGACCAAGGACATCCATGGCATTTGCTGGCCTAACCAGTGCTGGACCCTTAAGTAGGGAAATACTCTGGTGTGTGATATCTCTGCTGCAGGTTCAGAGATTTGACAAATTGGCATTTGTTAAACTAATGCTCACCCAAGAAGTCTTCAAACCATAAAAATTGGTATTTCCTACATCCTGGAAAGAATACAACTCTAAAATTCTACCTGCTGCTTAAAATGCTGTTCCTTAAGTAAAAGCAGGAGGAGAAGAAATGTCTACCAATTTTGATAGCTTTTATAATATTCTATAAAGTTTATCATAAGCTTTCCTCAGAGCCTAAACAGGGAGAATATTAATTGCATGATCCCGCAGGCTTATCTAGATTGCGGCCCTTTGCCCCACTCCCCTTATCTCATCGGAGAATGGCTTGTGACTTTGCTGTATCCTATTTTAGGACAAAGCATTTAGATTATATGTCTTTTCTCTATCTATGATCTGGTTTAGTTTTCAGTTTGTTTGTTTGTTTTCTTCTTGGAAAAATAGCATTCAATTCTCATCTTCAAAATAGAAAATCAGTCTTAAAAATGAACAAATCTTTCACAGGTGAGGGATGTAAACAGACTTTGAAATTCTGGAGGAAAGAGATGCATTGTGCACAGTCAAGTAAATATGAATTGGTTAATTTCAGCTGATCTTTTTTCTTATTAGATTGAAAATCCAGCCATTTTGACTGCCCCTTTACTGTCTCACTGTTCATTTTCCGAACACCAATGAATGGCCTTGGGAAAACTTGACCCTTCAAGGAATAATCCAACTTCTCCAGAGGAAAATAACTACTTGACCAGAATATTCTTTAAGAACAAAATAAGGAGCCCAACCTCACCATATAAAACTGTTTAGAGCAAAACTAAACTTCTGAATACAACGGATTATAATTTCTACAGCCTGTGAACAACTGCTGATCAAATTGCTAAAGGCTGCTGTTTTTGTGGTTGAGGCTTTCTTCTTTGGTTTTACTTTTAATGTAGTTTTGTTTTGCAAGAACAAAAGAGGAAGGGCCGCCTAACCAGGCTGTGGGACGATTCCAGCAAGCCTCGAGTTTCCTGGGGTTCACAGCCGCGGACTTCAGCCAGCAAGTGCAGAAGCGCTGTTGCTGCCTCAGCTGCACCTGGGTTTTTCCCTGTCTTGCAGTTTGTAGCTTAGAAGAACGGTGTGCAAGCGACTCCAGCTCTTCCCACACCCAGGCCAGTGTGGCTCTCTCTCAGGGCTCTGTCATAGTGAAAAGTGTGTATGTAAGTGTGGTGTGTGTGTGTGTCAGAGAACGAAAGAGAAGGGGAGAGAGACTGATCAATTCTTCGGCCTCAACTTCAGCATGCCTTAGTTGTCCGCTTCTGTCCCCAGGCTGGTGTCTTCTGGTGCAGTAGCTCCGAGATGAAGCCACCTTGGAAAATCCTTATGGCCACTCCTCTGTTCTTTCTCCTGACCCTTCACACCTTGGCCTCTCCAGCCTATGACCACCAGCCCAGCACCAGACGCTCCAAAGTCTGTATAGGTACGTAAATATTCTATTTTTAATGTGGATATCATGGGGTCAAATCCTTGACTTGCATAGTAAATCATCTATTTAATGGCATCCATAGCTATAAGATTCCAAGTAAGACACCAATAACCTTACCAGCGTAGAAAAATTTTGCTTCTTAGAGTAAGTGTTCACACTACACGCACATATGTGTGTATAGAAGCATGCTATATAGTTGCTAGTTTGAATTAAAAGTCTTCCACCTCATTGGTGATTGGAATTTTTTCCCCCTGGATGGGCAACTATAAAAGCCTGAAATTCTTACCTGCTTTCGGGACAGTAGGCAGCATTACACAGTAGAAGGAAGGTGGACTTTGACCTTTGAATTGCTGCCACCTCCTCCCCCTCTGTTCTGTCCCTTACAGTCTGAAACTTTGAGCAACTTAACACTTCCATACCTCTGTGTTCTTATGGATGAAACGAGGCTTATTATACGCACTTCATGGCGATGTGAGAATTGAGATCATGCATGTAAATGTATGGTATTTGCACACAGTAAGGATTCAACAATCTTAGTTTTCTTCCTTCTCTCAGTGAGTCCAGAGATGGCAATAAAAGGACAGTCACCTGGAAACATTGAACTTTGACTGAGCTATGGCTTTCACTTATCTTTTATTGAAGTATTTTACTTCAAAGTAGTTGTTGTTGTTTGGTGTTTGGGGTTTTGTTTTTCGTTTTTTTGGGGGGAGGTGTTGTTTTTTTGTTTGTCTTTTTTGGAGAGGAGTAAAAGTAGGGTAAGACCTTTGATATTCATGTTATACCTGGAGATTCCTGAACAGGGCCAAGGGCTTTCAATGGGTCAGTCCATGGAGCCAAGGATACTCAGAAGTCTGAGTAGTAATTATTCAATGAGCAGATCTCAAAATAAAATCCTGGTTTAAGAAGCCAGAAGAAGAACTCGAGGGGTAAGTATGGTGGCCATCTCTTACAAATGAAAAGTTTGGATACAGATTATGATACATATGAATTATTTCTGGAGACAGTACAGAAAAATATCTGAATTAGTCCTATTTCCTGAAAAACCATGATTTCCAGTCTTTATACATGTTAAGGAGCACATCTCTGGTTTCAAGGTCTTCTTTTAAATTAAAACCTTAAGACCTGGATTCCCCGCGAATCTATTCTCCACAGGCCTGGAAGCAGAGGTCTGTGGCCTCATTGGAGCCATGCCTGGGAGGTTATCCCCACCACTGTTTGGTCCCATCAGATAATTATTTACCACCTTCTATTTTCTCAAAACAAACACCTAAAGCTTGTTCAGTGGAAATGCACTTGAGAAAGGCTTAAGTGGAATCAGTTCTATTTCTAGGATGGTTGCATCATCTGAGATACTTGGCCCTCCACCCCTATAAAGTAGACATGAGGTACTCATCCCCTTCCCTGCCCCATTCCCACTGAGGCATAGAGAATTAGAAGGAGGTGTTGAGGGGATTCTAGGATGCAGTTGTTCTGGCTATCTATTATTGCATAACAAAATTTAAAATAACCATTTTGTCATACCATGATCTTGTGGGTCGAGTGTGCACTTCTAGCACCAGCACGCCCAGCAGCTGTGGCGATTGGAGGTGTCTCCTGAAAGGGGACCTGGGGGTGCTCTTAGGCACTGGCCAAATGTGGAAGTGTCTTAGGAAGCAGCGAAGTAAGCTTACTCGCAGCTGGTGGTAAGAGGAAGAGCCTCATAGAGGGGGTGGGAGAAGAGGAGGAATTGTCATTTGGACTTCTGTTAATCCCAACAACTTTCAAACGAAAAGCAGGACTACATGACTTCCAACTCATTGGCTCCCATAGTCCAGAGTTTGCATGTAAGAGGTCAACCTACACAGAGATGGACTCTTCTTCTGTCATCTGTCATCTAACATCCTTCTGTCATCTAACATCCTGGCACAGAGAATCTGGGCTAAGTCTTTAGCTCACTGAGCAAGAGGCAGGGGAGAGTGAGGAGAGCTCCCAGTGCAGATGTGGCTGCCAGGGTCACGGAGGGAGGGGACAGCTCTCACAGAAGTGGGAACTCTTGTGACTGGAGAGATACTCCACCAGGAGCCACTGTAGAAGTTATTGAGTGATTGAGCCAACATCCCCATCATAAACAAACAACCCCAGCTCCTGTACCAAGAGGAACCTTTGCAGTGGGGAACCAACCAGCAGATCTGGAAGGCATGGCCTTGAACATATTCCAAAATCAGAACTAAGCTATGCAAAGCCCCAGTGGCCTCTTTCCCAATTTACCATAATTCCTTTGCACTGAACTGTACGTTCATTTGATCACTAAGTAAAGTCTGATTCTACTGTGCTGGAACAGCCAAGGGCCTCTTTCTGCCACTTTTCAAATGTTATGAAATCAATAATAAGCCATGTTCATTTTTGCAAAACATTATTTTCTTTACATGGCTGATTTAGGGGCAAAGTAATCCTTATGTTTCTAAGTCATTGACATTTAAATTAATTCACTGAATTTTTTTTTTTTTTCAAGGAATCTTTTTAAAGCGCTTAAAAAAAATTTTTTTTCCCCTCATTCATGTTTGGTTAAATATATAAAATGCCTTCAGAGTCCGATAAAACCTCCTCCCCCCCGAACCACATCACACACACAGTGGTCAGAGATGACTTTATAGTTTGAAAGATAAAGGGGAAGACGTGATCCTAAGCTTTCAACCAGCATGAGTGGTAAAATGACAATGTCGCTGACAAAAATAGGAAAGATTTAGACAGAGCCAGCAGAGATTGAAAATTTATGATCACAATTTACATGTACAGAAGAAGTTTCATTTTCTCTGTTTCTCTATATCTGAACACTTGTTCATAAGTCACCACCATTGCTGCTGAGGGCAGCAAACATTTCATCTTTCCACTCATGTGTTTAAATTTAGTCTCCTCTGGATAATTCAGGGCTCTCTTCTTTTTCCCCTGTCTGAGGGTTGCTCTCAGTCCTTGGGGAGGTCTTTTGTATCACCCTGACACGGTCTCGGCCCTCAGAACTCCCACAGTGAAGTGTCACGGCTGGTGCAGCTCATGGGCTGTTCTTAACAGAATCCACGGTCACTCCCTGCTGACAAGCTGCTCACCTCCACCCTCATGGGCCCTGCAGACCCTTCAGGTGTAACCAGATGCCTGCTGGTTCCCAGCTGCAGCTGCAGCCCTCTGTACTTTGTCCCCCACTCTTCACACTTGCCCTCTCCTTAATCCCCTACTTTTATTTTTAGATTATCACAGAATTTAATCCCAACCTTGGCACAGATGGTAGGTTTCTGATCATCTCAATTTTCACTAAACTCACCTTTGCCTTTTTTTCTTTTTTTCCTGGATTGTTCTGGGGCATAACCCTGAAGAGAAGGACCACAAAGGCACTCTAGAGAGAGGTCCACAACTCTGTGAAAGGTCCCAAAGTGAGCAAAACCAGAAGAATCCAAGTGGGCAGTGTGCTTTTCCTTAAGGAGAAAGTGAAAATTTTCTTTTTTGGAGGGAAGGGGTGGGCAGTAAACTAGATCACAGTTTAAATGTACTATGAGAAAGAGGGGGAAAAAAGAATGTTGCAAAGCATTAAGCAGAGTAAAATCCCCATAAAATTATATATAATGTGCCTATCTCTCTACTTATATAGCTGTCTTCCCAGATAGGATGAACAGCAAAATGCCAATAGTTGGTGTATGGTTATCTATGAGTGATGAGGTTACAAATGATTTGTAATCTCTTTTCAGTGCATTTCTGAATTTTCCACATTTTCTAGATGAGCTTGCAAAAACAATAGTAAGACATGGTGGTTAAGAGCAAAAGAGCTTAAGCTCTGGGGTCAGACTGCCTGGATTGGAATCCTGGCTCTGCCACTCTGTGGCATAAGGGCACAGTTTCACCCTCTGTACCTTGTGTCCCCCATCTGTAAGATGAGATGACATGGGGCCTGCATCCTTGGGTGGTGTGGAGGGCTAATGAGTAAATACACATGAAGGACTTAGAACTGTGCTTGGTACATACTAAGTACCCAAAGGGGTTGTGATAATGTATTCTTTTGGAAATCAGGAAAAAATATATTGAAAATGAGCTATGGAAGTCCTGCATTTAAACCTATCATAAGGCAAAGAGGCCTGAGTAAACTGAATAATTACATGTGAATCTACATCTTATGCAAATACAAATTCTCAAATCTTGGATATCTCAAGGGAAGATTCACTTATGAAAAATGATTTCACAGTGTATTAGCTTTCTATTGCTGTGTAATAACTTGCCACACATTCATCAGTTTAAAACAACATAAATTTATTATCTCACGGTTTCTGCACACGATAAGTCTGGACATAATATAACCCGGTTCTCTGCTCAGAGTTTTACAAGGCTGTAATGGAGATGTCACATGGGGCTGCATGTGATGTGAGACTCAGGTTCTCTCGCAAGTTCAGTAGTGGTTGGCAGAATTCAGGTTCTTGGATTTGCAGGGCTGAGGTCCCATGTGCTTGCGAGCTGTCAGCCAGGATCACTCTCAGCTTTGAGAGGCTGCCCCTTTGCAGAGGAAGTTAATAACGTAGCTATTTCTTTCTTGTTTAAGAACTGCTGGAGCAAGCTCTCTACATTTAAAGGGCTCACCTGATTATGTTGGGTCCACCCAGGATAACCTTGAGTAACTCAAAGTAAGCTAACTAGGGTCCTTAATTACATATGCAAAATCTCTCTTATCGTAGAACATAACACAATCACAGAAGTGATATCCAATCACATTCACAGGTTCTGCTCTCACTCAGGGGAGGGGATTAAGTAAGGCCTCTACAGCAGGAGACAGTAATCTTATCATTCTGCCTACCACTCATAGAAATGCTTCAAAAAGAAAAAGTCTTCAAACTAAACACCAGATAGTATTGCAAAAGAGAATTGATGTGACTGGGTCCCAAAGTGATTCACCAAATAGGCACGACTATATAGTAGAATTTCATAGATGAAGAGTAAGCTGTGGGTTGAAGCGTCTTTTGTTTTGTTTTGTTTTTGAG